GCCTCCCCTTCCCTTTCGGTTTGGTCCTTGCGGCCCTCCGGTCCTGCGTCCGTGATGTCCACTGCTGGCGGCGGGAGCGGGTCCGCCCAGTCCGGGTGGTTCAAGTCCTCCCTGCGTTCCCTGCCTGGCCCGAGGTTCAGGTTGGGGACCTTCTGCGCTACCTGGCCCCAAATCTCCACAACCACGTTGCGCTTTTCCCGCACGTAGCCAGTTGCCCAGGTACATGCGGCGCTCCCGGGGGATCCCCATCTGGAAGGCGCAGTCTGGGATGAACACTCGGAATGAGTGCCACGTCAGCGGCTTCACCAACCCGGGGTAACTCCCCGGCGAAGAATAGCATCCTTGAGCCATCTCAGAGCCCTTTCCGGCGTGGAAGGTCTCGGCCCTGCAAAGTCTTTGCTCACCGTCGGGAGCAAGTAGTCCATGTCCTGGAATGCCTCCTCGGACACCAGTCGCCTGACCGAGGCCACCCAGGTAGTCCACCAGGGGATCCCCGTGAAGCTGTACTTCGGAGCAATCAAGGGGACCGGGTTGCGGTTGATTCGTGCTGCTGAGACCGTCTTGGTCTGCCAGGCCTTCAGCTCCACAGTGTTGCTGGTGTGGATAAGGCCCTTGGGGTGAACATGCTGGAGGTCATTGAAACGAGCGCTGCACCCAACCTGGAACCGGGCGAAACCCAGGATGAAAGCGTCCAGCACCTCGCGTCTGCTCCTCCCCGGGGCCGCCTGCGTACCGGGGCCGGTGGCACCCTGGTGATCGTAGCCGGCCCCCTCCTCCAGGGCCCATATGACCTCTTTGCTGGGGACCACCGCCTTGCGCTGTGGCCTGGTGACCGTGTCTGTGAGCGCCTCTTCCAAAGAGCTCTTCTTGGACTTGAGGCGATGGAGCTCGTCTATCTTCAGCAGCCCGAAGGTCTTGGAAAACCACTTGAGGGTGTTCCATACCTGCCGTAACTTGCACGGGGTGACCTCCTCCTCGGCAGGCACATCAGGACCAACAGCTCCCCGTCCGTCTGTCTCGGGGAGAAGGACTCATCCGCCAATGTGTCCCACAGGACCCTTGGAATGCGGTCCCAAAGACGAGTGTAAGGCGGGCGCAAAAGAAACTTGGTAGAAACCCTAGCCATGATGAAAACGGGGGGTTCGAGCCTGGAGCAGGCAGGCCACACGCAGCCCCAACAGGACCAAAAGTCAACCCCCGGAAATCCCCAAAAAAACACGGAGGGGGGAAGACCAACCCGACGGGGGATTCCCCAAAACCCCCAAGGGGACCTCAGGGAACCAAGAGTCAGCCGCAGCCACTTTCTCCAAACTGTGGCTGATATGGCCCGTCCTTGGGGCAGCCAATGCATGCAGCCTCCAGATCGAGGCAAACCGGCTGTCGTGACGTGTTGAACAGGGGGGAAACCATGGTGAAAGATGAACCCAAAAGGAGACACCCTTACTCCTCCCCCCACTCGACCGAGACGGGGCCAAAGGCACCCAAGTCCCGGCGGGAAGAGATCACACGACTCCACATCCAAAAGGGTTGTGAGACACGACCTAGCGGCTCTCACCCTTCAAGATCGCCTCCTTTGCCACCGAGTGGATGGCCGCCAGCCCTGACTTCTCCGGGTTGCTCAAAATGACCGACCACAAGGCAGTGGAGACATCCCCCAGGCCATTCGAGGAGCTGAAGCGCATGCGCGGGGTGCTCGCGTCGCCCAGGACTAGCCGCTCGTCCCTGGGAGGCTCCGTCGGCTCCACCCTCTTGTAGAACTCCATCCTGTCACGGATCCACTGATTATATAGCTGCTCCGGGGGCTCGTCCATCACCAGCTGCAAGCATGTGGCCTTGTCTTTGTGCCACCCCGTGATCTGGAGCAGCCTGGTCCCCCCGCGGCTCGCCCTCCAGAAGCCCTTGCAAAACCTGCACATGTAGCCCCCGGTGGTCTTGAACTTCTCCTTGCCCACCACTTCCCAGGCGCTGATGCTGGGCAAGACCAAGCCACACTCCACGGAGGCCCAAAACACATGCTTCGTCTCCTTGGGGAAGTGCTTGTTGATGTACTTCCGGCCCGCGACCGCCGTGACCGTGGCCGTGGTGATGGGCGGGTATCGCCTGGTGCCCTGGTCCGGTGTGCGGAGCGTGGTGTCTGCCCCCCCCAGAACCTTGGCCTTGGGGTCCGCCTCCTTGGCCGCTCCTCCCCCGGGGCCAGAGGCACCCAAAGGGGGGGAGCAACCCAGCTGCCGGATGAGGTCCTGGGAGTAGCCCAACCTGTCGTACAAGGCCCCCGCCGCCTCCTGCGGGACCTGCTCGACCCAGTCGTGGACCACGTTGCAACGCCAGTTGACCTTCACCTCCACCATGGAGGACTTGCTCAGGCCCGACACCAACTTGGTGTAGACCGAGTCGAAAGCCCTCAGCGATGACAGCGGGGGTGATCCGCTCGTCGCAGACCGCCCTGAAACGCAGCGCCTCCTTGCTGTCGTGGACGGGGGCCACTGGGATCTCCATCACCGGCAACGGGCAGTTGACGATGAAATTCTTGGCCGCCAGAAACGTCCCCATCTCCTTGAAGATGTAGCTCCATTCCGCCTTGCTGCGCGGCTTGGGGATGCCCAGGCTCTCCAGGAAGGGCTGCCCATCCACTTGTCCGAGGTCGAGCACTCCGCATTGCGGTTCCGGCGCTGCGTCTTCACGATCAGCGGGAAAGTGGTCCAAGCCGAGTAGATGTACTTGAAAGTGAACCTGTGGGCGTACACCCCCGTCAGGCTCGGCAGGTCCCACGTTCTCGTCTGCCTGGTCCAAAACACCCCATCACCTTTTGCCCAGAAGATCCCCACCACCTGCTCCGGCGCCGGGCGCTCGCCCCGGTTCACCTGCGCTCGGATCTCCAAGGCCGTGTAGATGACTGGGTCGATGTGGTCCTGCTCGCACGTGAGTGGGTGAGTCCTGCGCTCCAGGGCCAGGAGCTCCTCCGGCGTGAGCTTGAACTGCTGGTCAGCGCCCTTGGGGATCTCACCGCTTGAGTGCTTCTTCCAGATCCCCCCAAACATCCGTAGCTCCCCCTGGTGCCTCTTCATCGCCCAGAGGAGCAGGGACAGCTTGCCCTCCTCCGAGTCCAGGTCATGCTGTGACATTGGCTGGTCCTGCCCGGGGCCAGTGGCACCCTTCAAGGGGGCCGGTGCCGCCAGATCGGGCATCTCCTCCAGCAGCGCCTCCTGGTGCCATGGGTTCTGCGACTCTCTGAGCCTCCTGATGTAGGGGACATACTTCTCCTTGATGTCTCCTACGTTGGGGATGTCCTCGGGGCAGAATAGCCCCCTCTCCAGGGCCTGCCTGAGATCATCCGGCCACGCCGACACTTCCAAGGGCTTGAGAGTGTGGTTAAGCATCCTTGCCTGGTTGGTGTCCTGGGTGCGCTTGTTCGCCTCCTGAGCCTCCTGAATGGAGCCCATCGCCTCAGCCAGTGCCTGGCTGGCGTCAACGCCCTTCCCCTCCAGGTACTGGTCTCGCAGCTTGGCCTTGAATCGCTCCAGGTTGACCTTCCTGATAGCACGGGCTCCCTCATTGGCCTCCTCTGACGGCAGGGCCTGCATGCCCTCCTGGAGAGGCGCCAGGATAGCCATCTCATTGTCCAGCATCTCCTCCGTGACCAACTCCTTGTGCCGTCGCGGGGTCAGTTCCCGATGCTCCCTCAAGGCCTTATGCAGCTCCTCCTTCTTCCGGATCGCCTGGTCCACCTGGGGGTGGTAGAGCTGGAAGCTCTGAGCCTCCGCCTCCTTCAGGGACCGCTGCACTTTGACCTTGATCTCCTGGCATTGGGACCACGTCTGCCATGGTGATCTCCTCTGCCGTGTCCGTTTTCGGAGGAGCTCTCCCCAGGACCGTGCCGTCCACCAGGTTGCGGTCTGCCTGTGCCCGGGTACCACCGGGGCCAGCGGCACCCAGGCTTCCCCCTTCCCGCTGCTGGATCCAGGTCGGCTTGCCCTCCACAATGAGCAGGTTGTAGGTGATGCCGTCCGCCTCATAGGTAGCCGAGGGTGCCTGGAAGGGGACGAACTCCTTGCCTGGGCAGACCCTTGGCTGCCTCTGGCCACCCCGTGCCGCATGCCTTGCACATGAACTTGTAATCTGAGTGGCCTGCATCAGGTCTGTGCATCCGCTGGGTGCCAATGCACGCCTTGTTCCTCTGGAACTGTGAGGCCCAGACCTCCTCCTGCCGGATCTGGATCTTCATCGGGACATAGGCCTCCAGGATACGAATCACCAGGTCCTCCGTGAGATTCTCCCCGACAAACTTGTGGAACAGGGAGACCGCCTCCTCCACCGTGACGTCCCTCAGCAACGTGGCCGCCGATGCCGGAAGGACCGGGAAAAGGTCTGGGAGGTCCACTAGCTTGAAGTAGCCGGGACGGCCCTCCACCGGCACCAGGGAGACCGGTTTGTTCACATGAGCCGTGGTCTTCTGGGAAGCCGCCACGAAACCCTTCAGCCTCTTCGTGGGTGGTGTCTGTGCCTCCTCCAGTGGAGTAGCCCGCTCCGTGACGTCCGCATCTTCCATGTCCTTGTCCTCCTCCTCGGCGGGGCCAGGGGCACCCAAGCCGGAAGTCGGTGTGGCAAACGCCACACGGAGACGCTCCAGTGCACTGGAGAGGTCATTCATCACGTCGGTAGCCGAAGCCGACGGGGGGGCCTCGGGCTCGTCCAACACCAGGCCGGCCGCCACTGCCGCCTCGCGTGTGCGAATTTCCTGGGCCTCCTGGCTGGCCATTTCCACCTCCTCCGCGGTGAGCGTCTGGTCCTCACTCAGCTCGAAGGAGGTTGCCGAGGTTGCCGAGGAAGCCATTGCTTGATCGGGGTTAGTTCGGGGGTGTTCAAACTCAAATCTTTTTCACACAAATTGGGTTCAAAGAACCCAGGGCAAAGCTTGAGCCAAAATGGCATGCGCCATTATGGTCAAGCATTTCAAACACAGTTCATGTTTCCACATGCGTTTCAACATTAACAAATTTCTTGATGCAAGGTTGATTTGCATCGGGATGCAGTCTTTGCATCCTAAGCCCCCGAGCCCGAGCTGTGACACCTCACACAAGCTCGACCTGGCAATTCCAGGTCGAAGGAAGCCTTGCTGCCTGTGGCCAAAACTCCAACACTTGTCCCAAAGTGCATGGGAAAACGTACTCCATGCCGCCAAATAGACCATAGACCAAATAACAGTTTCTGGCCGACCCTGCCAGTGGTCTGCTAATCTTACGAGGGTGATTCCCTGCCAATTTCAGGGTCTTTTGATCACCTGGTTTCCGACCGAAAAGTGTGCTGACTCGACTCCTGCAACCCCCTCTCCCAAGAGGCACCTTCCCATCGTGATCCGGTTCCACCAGGAATTTCCGAATCTCTTTGTAGCGGATCAGGTAGGTCTCCCCTGGACTCGGATTCCACCAGCCATCTTCTGGCGCTCATAATAAGCACTCTGAAACGGGAAAAGGCGGATCATCCCAAACGAACAGAAAGAAGGAGCCGGAAGGACGGACTCCAAACTGTTCTCAGTACATGCAACCCCAAGGGAGGTTCAAAACCATGCAGATGTGAGGTGGGCGGGCTACAAAGCCAGCATGAAGTCAACCATTTGGAAGGGTTTTCTAGGTCCTAGTTTGATGCCTTGCTACATGACAACGAAATCTGTCCACCGTATTGCATGGGGTCAACAAGCCGTTTGGGCCTGTGTCCAAAAGGCAATCTGCAACACTCATTTACCATCGCATCCACAGCGGCCGTAGTCAGAAACTGGGACCCGATCAGATTCCAAACCTGACCCCAATCGAATAAACGGATGATCTCAAAAAAGTTGATGGCTGATGTGCGTTTTGAGCCATACACAAACAAATGTTGTCAGTGGGAAAGGAGACCGGAAAGCAACTGATGGAACTGAAAACTTGCTTCCGGGGTCTTCTGACTCGGAAGCAACCGGCTTGGGAATTAAATGTCAACAAGTGCCTGATGTTTTGGGTAAACAACCTGCTCTGTAGAAGCCCTAGTGCTGTTGAAGGGAGTTGAAGGGAGAACCTCCTGGAGTTGGCTGCCAATTACCTTGACCAAAAAGAAGAAAAGTGTGCCAACTACGCAATGAAAACACCGCCCATCCTGACCACATCGCCCAGCTCGGCCTGAGCCCTAAGATCTCGATCAGAGCTCGGCTTTGCGGAGCTTCCAACACCAAGCGACTGCCACGACACTTTCCAAACTGAATAATAAAGACCAGCGCCACAAACATAATTTTGTGGAAGCAAAACAGATCGCAAACCCAGCCCATGCGCGACACGCAAGTCTCTGCAAAGAAAGCTGGAGGTCCTGGGCTCTAAGAGAGCACTTCCGCGTGGCAAACAATGCTGGACAACCAATCAAGTGGTGTGTGTCGCGAATGTTCAAGAGAGCCCACCCCCCGACCTTCCGCTCCGGCTTTTGGCGGGGCCTTCGAACAATCGCAAGTCTTTGGTGCCGGGTGTGCTGGACACGCCTCGGGACAGGTTCCAGATATGCGCAGAGGTCAAAACGAGCTTATGGCTGTTTTCAGCTGGCTTTCTCAACCAAAAAATGATCCCCTGTTTTAACACGATGAGAATTAGACCTTTTTACATGCTTTGGGTAACGAAGACTTCCTCACTGCCCAGGTCGGAGGTCGGTCCTGATTGCAAAAGGCTTGCACCCTTGTGTCTAATGGTTATGAGGACCGAAAGGCCCCAACAAAATAAGGGTGTCAAACAAATATGGCAAATCTCAGCAGTACAAACGAAAACCATCACTTCCACGGGGGGCAAGACCTTCAGGTATCGTAACTCGCCTTGGAGTAACCTTCTGTTTAGCAAGGAATGAGGCACTTCAACCTGTGATTCAAACCAGAGAGGGTGCGCGACGTGGGGTGCATCCCTAAACTTGATTGGTTGCAAGACAAGCAAATAGCATGGTGTTGGAGCTAAATGTCTGTCATTAGTACGGAGTACTGGTTGTCCTTTCTTGGGCAAAAAGTCACAGCCGGGCAAGCCCAGGCCAGATTGCAATATGGGTGGCGCCAGCCTGTTGAGAAGCGCCGTCGTCGAAAGGCCCGGTGTTAACAAACGTCCTATGCTTAAAGTGGCGAATCAAGCTATTGCGAGTCTTCAATTGTGCCCCTGATTAACGCACTTTCCCAGTCAAGGCAAGCTCGGGGTGGGTTTCGGGTAGGTTTGGGGTAGGTTTCGGTTCCGTTTTTAGGGTAGCCGGCATTGTCTTAACATCGTCAGCATCGGTTTCAACATCCTCGGCATCACCAGGCTTCACGTACCGCGCGGCAATTTGATAACCTTCTACTACAAGAAATAGTCTCCGGTGTGGCAAAACAGGGGTTCCCAGGCTTGAATCCCCCTGCCGGCTTTTTGCCGGTTCGGGTTTTCGCCGAAAACCTGTAAAAACTATTTGTTGACCTCCTTCTTGCGAAAACGTTGAAAACAAGAATACTGGGGAAGGAAGGGGCAATGCAAGGGAAGTGTAAGGAAAATGAAGGGGACATGACCGGGAAATAAAACAAAATGCAAGAACATGCAGGGGACAGGAAGTGGAATTGACAGGAAAGCAAGGGGAAATGAAAGGGAAACGAAGGGGAAACGAAGGGGAACTGAAAGGGAAATGAAGAGAAATGCAGGGGGAGTGAAGGGAGAATGAAAGGGAAACAAAGGACGAGGAAACCAAAGGACACGAGGGGAGATGCAGGGAAATGACTGGCAATGAAGGGGACATACATGGAAAATGAAGCGGACACACTGAGAAAATGACAGGGACATGAAGCGGGAGTTGAAAGGAAAGGGAGGGGACATGACCAGGAAATCATAGGAAATGACGGGACATAAAAAGGACATGAAGGGGAAATGAAGGGGAAATCAGGGGGAAACCAGTAGTAAGAAGAACGCTTCAGGGGTCATGAAGGGGCACTCGGAAATCGAGGCAAAAAAAATGAGGGAGAGAAGGGGGGGAAGCGAGAGGGGCAGAAGGGGGGGGGGGGAAGGAGGCAGAGAAACGAGGTGGGGAGAAAGAGGCATACCGAGGAGGTAGAGAAAGAGAGAAGCATAAAGAGGAGGGAGAGAGAGACAGAGAGAGGCATGAAGAGGAGGGGAGGAGGGAGAGAGACAGAGAGAGAGAGAGAGAGAGAGAGAGAGAGGAGAGAGAGAGGGAGAGAGAGAGAGAGAGAGAGAGAGAGAGAGAGAGAGAGGGAGGGAGAGAGAGAGAGAGAGAGAGAGAGAGAGAGAGAGCGGGAGAGAGGACGAGGTAACAAAGAGGGCCGGGAGGAAGAAGGAGAAAAGGGAGAGGCCAATGTCGGCGGAGTGAGCCGGAGGCTCCAAAGTAATACGCGTATGCCAGTATGTGACCATCTCTCCAAAACCAGAGGTAACTGGGAAAAGCAAAGCATATTCATGGCCAGCATTTTCTATCAGCCCATGTCACAGCAAGTGACCAGCAAGGACTGCCCAAAACCTCGCTGGCAAGGCTAGTTGGCCATATGCTATCAAGATCTGGATTTGGAAATGACAACAAACTGCCTTCGATATGTGTTTTATGCGTGTTACCCCTCTGCTTCAAGGCCAACCACGCAACAGCTTCACGTACATGCGCCCCATCGCACCCACGCACTGCCTGGAGAAGCATGCAGAGAGGGCGAAATCGTGCCAACGTCTCCGCAGATCCTGGCTTGCGCAACGTCGATTGGCGAAATAGTGGCCCTCTTCGGGGACCGAAGACAAAGTTTGAAAGTGAGGGCACTGGAGCCCGACTTTCTCCCGATGCAACTTCTCAGTGCTGCTGATCCAGTGGGACTTTTCACTGTCTTGGGATGCATCCTCTAGCTCTGTCACACTGTCCACCAAAACATCAAGGGGCCTCCCCCAATTCCTGACAGGGGCGATTTTAGCGCCTGGTAAGGCGTGTAACAGGGTCTATAAAACCCTTGCGAGATCCCACGAAGAAGCTTAAATAAAGTAAGTATATTGTGCAGGAGAAGCTCATGTTCAAACTCCAAAACCGCGTGAATCCAACATCCACTGTGTTTCATGTTACCCGGCACGGAACTTGTTGCAAACAGAGCTCGGACGGCCCTCGCCTAACTGTTTGTGCTGTGCCTCGCAAGATTCCGATCCGGTGCCCTTTAAAGACCACACCATGAAATTGGGAGGAACAAAACAGCTGATGTTCACGGTGTCGGAGTAGCCCAGCTTTAGGCACCGCCTCTTAGTGACTACACCTTGCAGGTCCAAGAGGCACGCCCAAGCCGCCAACTGAAATGGCTTGCAAACGATTCTCGACTTCGCAAGGCCGCTCCCGGGCTCACAGGTGGTAACCCTGAATTGCTGGCTCACAGGAAGTCAGAAGCAGGGAAGGGCGTGGTTTCTGCACAGTGGGAGAAGCAAACATTCAGAGCAGGGGAGGAGGAGAAAAAAGAGAGAAAGAGAGACAGAGAGAAGGAGAGAGCGGGAGAAAGAGGGAGAGAGGGAGAGAGCAAGACTAAAACATGATGAACCAACCCACCAACCAAGAAACAAACAAATAGCAGACAAACAAACAAAGAAGCAAAGCAAGAAAGCAACAAACCAATTAAACCAAAAGCAAGAAGACAAGAAAGCAAGAGAGCAAGGAAGCAAGGAAGAAAGAGAAATAATCAAGAGAAAAACAAATAGATAGTATGCATCAGGAACAAAACAAGTTAAAGAGAGTAAGAAAGGCAGGATGACAAAAAAGGATGAGAAAGAAAGAGAGAAAGAGAGAAAGAGAAAAAGAGAGAAAGAACGAAAGAGAGAAAGAGAAAAAGAGAGGAAGAGAGGAAGAGAGAAAGAGAGGAAGAGAGAAAGAGAGGAAGAGAGAAAGAGAGGAAGAGAGGAAGAGAGGAAGAGAGGAAGAGAAAAAGAGAAAAAGAGCGAAAGAGAGATAGAGAGAAAGAGAAAAAGAGAAAAAGAGAAAAAGAGAGAAAGAGAAACAGAGAAAAAGAGAGAAAGAGAGAAAGAGAAAGAGAAAGAAAGAGAGAAAGAGAGAAAGAGAGAAAGAAAGAAAGAAAGAAAGAAAGAAAGAAAGAAAGAAAGAAAGAAAGAAAGAAAGAAAGAAAGAAAGAAAGAGAGAGAGAGAGAAAGAAAGAAAGAGAGAAAGAAAGAAAGAAAGAAAGAAAGAAAGAAAGAAAGAAAGAAAGAAAGAAAGAAAGAAAGAAAGAAAGAAAGAAAGAAAGAAAGAAAGAAAGAAAGAAAGAAAGAGAAACAGAGATGGAGAGACAGAGGGAAAGGGAGAAAGGGAGAAAGGGAGAAAGCGAGAAAGCGAGAAAGGGAGAAAGGAAAAGAATGAGAAAAGGAGAAAATTAGAAAGAGAGAAAGAGAGAAAGAGAAAAAGAGAAGAGAGAAACACAGAGTGAGAGATTGACAGCGTGATAGAGTGCGAGAGTGAGAGAGTGAGAGAGTGAGAGAGAGAGAGAGAGCAAGAGCTAAACAAAAGAGAAAGACATGCCCCGCTATTGAAGTCACACATCCTTTTCAGGGAGCATCATGGTCTCTCCAAAATTGATCACTCAAGCGCAGCCCATCTGACTGCCCCCGTTCGCGTCCTTGCGTAGATGTGTGTATCCATTTGTGGGCGTCGGATCATGTCCTTGGCCACGGCATTCACAAAATGGACCAACACCCTGCAAGACATGGTTCGGCCCCACGTGGCGACCTGCACTCGAACGCTCTTGACTCTCACTTGGTTGGAGAGAGGGCCTCCGGAACGGACCGTATGGGAAGCCAGGTGTCCCGGGTGGGACTCCCACAGGGAGGCGTGGAACCAGTGTGCATGCAGGTTGTGAATCGGGGTGTTTCATCATAAAAAAGGGTGCGGCATGAAACATAGCCGGTTTTTGTCTCTTGGGCACCAACCAACCGCACCCGCTCGGCTGTTTAGTGGCCACAACAAATGAAACAGGGAAGTTCGCTTGAGAGAGTTCATAATCCAAGGAAAGGGAGCAACAAGGACAATTGTACGCATGATTCTCCTATGAGTCCAAACTCGGCCCAGAAATTGACAGGTGAGATGAGGAGCAAAGGGAAGGAAGAGGCCGCAGAAAGACCTTGGGAACCGCATCCTAGAAAAACAAAAAATCAAGAAACACCAAGTCCTTCCAAATACGGTAGATAGTACCATATTCATCGTTCTGAAAGTCACCCGGTGGATCCTACGACGAAATCGACCTGAGCCAAAAAACTTCAGAGCCGAACCAAGCACGGTTCTCACCAAAGGACCTGGACAGTCCGAAAGATGATTGGACCCCTCCTTTTGGTTGGCTTTGATTCGGAGCCAACATGAAACACCCGTTTGTTGGGTTTGTTGGGGGACACCTGTTGGCAACATCTGAAGAAAAAAGGCAACACGCCTCAAGGGAGACCTTCTGGAAACCACGCACCTGAAAGGGCAGCCATGAAAATAAAATGGACTATTGGAGATGCTTAACCAGACCTCATCGGCAACCAAACAAAAACATTGTTTAGTTTCTTGGGGTCACTAGTCAGCCCATTTCATTGGGCCTCTCTCCTCCCGCCTTATCCGGGGAAAGGGCAGAGGAAAACGATGGAAAAACCCATCTGAGCCAAGCTGCCAGGTTGTCGTCCACCTGCTCATCCAGCGCCTGCTTCTTCTCCGGCAGCGCTGCCAAGAAGCGGTGCTGAAAGTGCCTCGCCGTTCGAAGCAACCAACTAACCACTCGAATTCATCTGGAAAAAATGTAAAAACGACCCAGCCAGCCAGCCAGCCAACCAAGAAATGAAGCAAAAGGTAGGAAAGCAAGGAAGGAAGCAAGCAAGCAAGGAGGCAAGGAAGCACAAGCCAGCAAGCAACCAAGGCAGCAAGCAAGGAACCAAGCAACAAGCAAGCAACAAGCAAGCAAGGAAGCAAGGAAGGAAGCAAGCAAGCAACAAGCAAGCAACAAGCAAGCAAGGAAGCAAGGAAGCAAGGAAGCAAGGAAGCACAAGCCAGCAAGCAACCAAGGCAGCAAGCAAGGAACCAAGCAACAAGCAAGCAACAAGCAAGCAAGGAAGCAAGGAAGGAAGCAAGCAAGCAACAAGCAAGCAAGGAAGCAAGGCAAGGAACAAGGAAGCAAGCAAGCAAGGAAGCAAGGAAGCACAAGCCAGCAAGCAACCAAGGCAGCAAGCAAGGAACCAAGCAACAAGCAAGCAACAAGCAAGCAAGCAAGCAAGGAAGCAAGGAAGGAAGCAAGCAAGCAACAAGCAAGCAACAAGCGAGCAACAAGCAAGCAAGGAAGCAAGGAAGGAAGCAAGCAAGCAACAAGCAAGCAACAAGCGAGAAGCAAGGAAGCAAGGAAGCAAGGAAGCACAAGCCAGCAAGCAAGCAGCAAGCAAGGAACCAAGCAACAAGCAAGCAAGCAAGCAAGCAAGCAAGGAAGGAAGCAAGCAAGCAACAAGCAAGCAAGCAAGCAAGCAAGCAAGGAAGCAAGGAAGCAAGGAAGCAAGGAAGCAAGAAGCAAAGCACAAGCCAAGCAGCAAGCAAGCAACAAGCAAGCAACAAGCAAAGCAAGGAAGGAAGCAAGCAAGCAACAAGCAAGCAACAAGCAAGGAAGCAAGGAAGCAAGGCAAGGAAGCAAGGAAGCAAGGAAGCAAGGAAGCACAAGCCAGCAAGCAACCAAGGCAGCAAGCAAGGAACCAAGCAACAAGCAAGCAACAAGCAAGCAACAAGCAAGCAAGGAAGCAAGGAAGGAAGCAAGCAAGCAACAAGCAAGCAACAAGCGAAGCAAGGAAGCAAGGAAGCAAGGAAGCAAGGAAGCAAGGAAGCAAGGAAGCAAGGAAGCAAGGAAGCAAGGAAGCAAGGAAGCAAGGAAGCAAGGAAGCAAGCAAGCAAGCAAGCAAGCAAGCAAGCAAGCAAGCAAGCAAGGAAGCAAGGAAGCAAGGAAGCAAGGAAGCAAGGAAGCAAGGAAGCAAGGAAGCAAGGAAGCAAGGAAGCAAGGAAGCAAGGAAGCAAGCCAGCAAGCAACCAAGGCAGCAAGCAAGCAAGCAACAAGCAAGCAACAAGCAAGCAAGGAAGCAAGGAAGGAAGCAAGCAAGCAACAAGCAAGCAACAAGCGAGCAAGGAAGCAAGGAAGCAAGGAAGCAAGGAAGCAAGGAAGCAAGGAAGCAAGGAAGCAAGGAAGCACAAGCCAGCAAGCAACCAAGGCAGCAAGCAAGGAACCAAGCAACAAGCAAGCAACAAGCAAGCAACAAGCAAGCAAGGAAGCAAGCAAGGCAAGCAACAAGCAAGCAACAAGCGAGCAAGGAAGCAAGCAAGCAAGGAAGCAAGGAAGCAAGAAGCAAGGCAAGGAAGCAAGGAAGCACAAGCCAGCAAGCAAAGCAAGCAAGGAACCAAGCAAGCAACAAGCAAGCAACAAGCAAGCAAGGAAGCAAGGAAGAAGCAAGCAAGCAACAAGCAAGCAAAGCAAGGAAGCGAAGCAAGGAAGCAAGGAAGCAAGGAAGCAAGGAAGCACAAGCCAGCAAGCAACCAAGGCAGCAAGCAAGGAACCAAGCAACAAGCAAGCAACAAGCAAGCAACAAGCAAGCAAGGAAGCAAGGAAGGAAGCAAGCAAGCAACAAGCAAGCAACAAGCGAGCAAGGAAGCAAGGAAGCAAGGAAGCAAGGAAGCAAGGAAGCAAGGAAGCAAGGAAGCAAGGAAGCACAAGCCAGCAAGCAACCAAGGCAGCAAGCAAGGAACCAAGCAACAAGCAAGCAACAAGCAAGCAACAAGCAAGCAAGGAAGCAAGGAAGGAAGCAAGCAAGCAACAAGCAAGCAACAAGCAAGCAAGGAAGCAAGGAAGGAAGCAAGCAAGCAACAAGCAAGCAACAAGCGAGCAAGGAAGCAAGGAAGCAAGGAAGCAAGGAAGCAAGGACGCAGGGAAGCAAGGAGCAAGCAACCAACGATCCCTGCGGCTTGTTCGGGGCAGGTCTGCCATCACTCGACATCATCCTCACCAATGGCAAAACAAGCTGGTGCTACCGCGGACCCACGTGCAACGACTACCGAAGGCCATGATTTCTGAAAGACGAAAGCCTTGGGGGGGATCTCAAAGTGCTTTCCATGAGGAAGGGGAAAACCCCGACACTTGCTGCAAACAAATCTCCGTTCCTTTCGAAAACACCGTCTCGGGCAAAGGGAGGTGTCTGAAGACTAGAAAGCCCTCGAGGCTTTTTGCAAAGAGCTCCAGCAAGAAACCACCCATCAGGACACGATGGTTGAACACACAACGCTTTGGCCCAAGCATGTGCCCTGTGAAGGCTCAAGTCTTTCCTACAGCTTGGATCTGGGAATGGCCTGAGTTCATTCAATACCTCCGATTGACACTAAATCGTATTACCCACAGAGCTCTCTTCAGCAGTCTGCAAAAGTTAACTTGAATCTGAACCGCATCCTTCATGGGTGAGCTCGCTTACCCCAGGCGAGTTATCCATAAATTAGGCAAAGGCATGTGTACCAACCTCCCTCCCCCTCCAACCAGCGCACATACGCTTGTTGTCCCAGAACTCGTGGAGCCAAATGCGCCTCAGAACTCGACAGCGGGCTTGCTTAGCTCGCGAGGTTTGCCCAAACCCCGTTCTCGTCACTATCGCTGCCGGCAAAACGTGGGTTCTTGGACTAGCCCGCCCTTGTGTCAAAACTGGCTTGCAAGCAAATGCCGATATACCGTGGAAGGGCTAGTTGGGTCGATGGACAGGCTTTGTCGTAGGTCTGATAGAAGGCAAGCCTTCTTGCTTCCCACTCGATCGTCCCAAAGCCTGAGCCTTAAACCACCAAGTGCGCCCAGGTAAGCCCTGAAGCCACACCTGCAGTTGAATCCAACATAAAACCCCCGGGGCTTGACCTGGCCAACTGATAGAGCCATGAGGTTCCCAAAGGCACGCTGAAAACGGCAACCCTACAAACCACACACGCGTGCAACTGGTTGCACAGTGTCTCCAGATTGGGCTCCGAGTGATTCATTCCCTCTTGTTTTTCTTCCAGAAGCCACTAATCTCCTCCTCCTCCTCCTCCTCCTCCTCCTCATCCTCCTCCTCATCCTCATCCTCATCGTCATCCTCATCATCATCGTCGTCATCATCGTCCTCATTGTCATCGTCATCCGCATCATCGTCCGTCATCGTCATCCTCTTCCTCATCCTCCTCATCATCATCACCACTCCCACCACCATGCTGGCTCAAATCACAAAACTTCACAAGCCTGAAATCCGAACACCGAGGAAGCCTTCTCATGTGTATATAAATATGGTAACCCTGCAGGACCCACCCTAAACCAGGAGAAGCCACAAAAAAAAAACAGGGATAAAGCAAAACAACCGAGGGAAGGCCAAGGTCGTAAGGAAGAAGGGCCCCAATTCCCGATAAACCACAACACCAGGTCTTCCAGAAGATGGGCCCCAAACCTGAAAAACAGAGCAAACAAAAAGACAGAAGCCAGGGTCCTCCAGAATGGCAGCTACTTCCAGTATCTGTCTCATAGACCCTGCTTGTTGCTCTGTCTCTGTTTTTGTCTGTGTTTTTTTTCCCCTGGTTGCGTCTGTTTGTTTGTTTGTTTTCTGGTCTAGGGCCCTGCTTCTGGAGAACTATGTTTCATGGTTTCTGTGTTTTGTCTGGCTAGCTTGGTGTCGCTGTTTTCCTGCTTTGTTCGTGGGATTCTGACCAGAATTTAATAGAAATCAATTGGAAATGCTATTTTGAATAAGAGTCTAAATAGGAAAACCTTTCCCAGTAGGATTAAAATTGAGATCTACAAATGGAACCTAGTAAAGAAAGACAAGCTGGTTGTTTCTTCTAAATCATCTAATAATTAGAATCATTCTATTGAAATATTTTTTTAATGGGTCCTCACAGCCAATAAAAAAAAACTCTGTTCATGATGAGCCCGCCAGCTTGTTGGCCTTTTGACTGCAGAGCCCAACGCATTCTCCCGACAGACCAAGACTTCCCCACACAAACTGGGTTGGTCTACGACCGCTTGCAAAAAGCTAATTAAAACTAAAACTGCCCAGAAAGTTTTGCAAAGGGAGCAGAGATTAAAAAAGCTCGAGCGGATTTAATAGTGTCAGTAGGGAATCGCCAAAATATCTTGGCCTCGAGGGATGCCCCCAAAAGGAAGCCGCAGGATGGTTTCGGGTCCCGAAATTCCCTGAGAACCAGAGCAAAGAAACCGAGGAGCAAAGAAAACTGGGCCCGGGGTTCTGGTTTAACGCCAAATGGGTCCAGGCGGCTCAGCTGAGCTCAGCATCATCTGCCGCTGCCTCACTCGCAGCTTGCGGGAAGAGTTGGTCTCAGGCAAAACAGAGGTGTCTTAACATCGGGAATCGTCTTGTAAGGTTTCCGTAAGCTAAAATGCCAAGCACCTGGAGGGCTCCATAGCCTTGGGAAAGGTCCAAACGAAAGTAACCGAACCATTCCGAGGGCTTCACCATATACCCCCCTGTCCCGCTCGCACCGAATGATCCCCTGCATATAGCTACTTTGTATTCTGCCCTCCCTTCCCATCCGTGGCTGAAGCAACTGTCCTTGCCATTGCCTACACAGAGCCATTCACCGGAAGGCCGTCCGTAGGCTCCGACACAGAGCATTTCCCAAGCCACTTGCATGGAAGTCCAAGGAAAACGGCCTGGGAGTTGCAGCTTTTCTCCCGAGCCTTTAGCCAGAAGATGGGGCAAGGGTAGCCTTCAGGCCCAGCCTGAGGGGGTCTGACACAAATCGGTAGCTAAAGTCAACAGCTTGGCTGGGCCTCAGCTCCTTTGGATGCAATGCATCCCGATATGCATGCACGCGCCGCAATTCTTACTGTGATCCTTGGGAGAACACATCACACAAACAATCAAACGCAAAACAAGGAGTCAAATCCAAAGCCTTGTTCCTGGCCGACGTATCCAGTTTTGGACACTGCAAAAAGGATGCCACGCATGCCATCTACAAAGCAGCCTGTGCGGGGCATGTGTTGAAAGGGGACTTGGGGCTCATATCAATCTCCCAAATACGTTTACACTCATGGTGTTAACAGTCATGTGTCAGCCAAGTGATTAGGTACATGGCTTGGCCCTATTCATGTGCTGGTCACTGGGGCAGCTATGCATCTTTCCTTCCAGTGCTATCCATTGCTGGCTTTCCTGTATCTCTCTCTCCGTCCCGCTCATATGATATTCCGTAATGAAGCCAATACTACAAAACAAGTTCGAACAGGAAGCAATGCCGCGTGACAGTCAAGCTGGGATGCTTTCCCTTCCCTGGCCTGCAACTCCCTCCCCTCTCGGCCATCCCGCGGGTCCATGTAGTGCAAAGGATACTTGCTCAGCTTCCAGAGCCGAAGACGCAGGTAGTCGCTGAGCATGTACCTCGATCATCTCAGCCCTCTTTCAAATCTGTCGGATTAGTCGGACCAGTCGGCCAGCGGGTGTGAATCAGTTTCACCGGGGAAGTCCGAAGTCCTTGCAAGGGGAAATGAAAGAGCGGTTTGGAGGAAGTCATCAGGATAATCCTGAGAAGGAGGCCCGACAATCCAAAATGGAACTTAGCATGACAACCAAGGGCGCAAGCATGCCGTTCCAGGAGGAGCCATCCTCAATGCATCCATGGCGAATGGGTGTCCTTCTGGGGCTATGCCCCTTTTTGGTGGAATAAAGTGGAAACCAACAGCAAACCAGCCATTGAACCGGGTTCCCCATTTTGGGACCATCAGTTGCGGTCACGGAACCGTCGAGAAATGACCTTCGATGCAAACAGATTGCGTTCTGTTGATTCGAAGCAATTGCAGGATGGGTAACCACTGACTGTCTTTGAAAGGATCAATGCATCTACTCCGCTGCATGTCCCGCGCAGAGCGCGCGTTTTCGCTGCAGGCTGCCGCGAGGCATCCCCTCTCTGTGGGGAGCATCGAGCACCAGGTTCCGAACCCCAAATAGAACACCCGCAGCCGACATTGTGGGCTGATCTGTGCACCGAATTTCCATCTCTCCAATTAGGCTGCCATGGCACATCCTGAAAGATGAGCAATAGCATGTTGTTCGAGCTCAAAAACACACAACTCCATGGGTGTGCCAGAGTCACTCAGCTGTACTTCGACCATTCTGCATCTAGATCGATCATGCCGTGAAATAGCTAGATTGTCGCTAACAGAAATATGATCCAGGTTGTTATTCCCTTCCCAATATGGGTAGGTCGTTACTTGGGCACCCATAAATCCGCGCCAGACTCAGACCCCCTGCAAAGAGTTCGCTTTTTGCTCGTTGAAAGGGTAGATTAAGGTAAACCAAAACAGGCAAGCTGCGTATGGCAATGTTCGTTCTTTTTGAAGGGCAGCCAAAGGAAAACCACCCGTTCGTTAGGGCTTCCCCCTCAGACAAACCCAGCAAGCGGTGCTTGATACCCCTCCGTGGTTGAGTAATTGCCATCGCAGGTTGGCGGTTTCTCTGGTGTAGCACAACCCCCTCCCCCCCACACCCCCATCCGCAGTGTAGTGGTCTATAACATCCCCCCACACCCATAGCTGGGGTCGTATGTTACCCATGGGTAAGCCGCTGACACGGACGTCCATGGCCGACTTGAAAGCGGCACTCCCGGCCGCAGGTCACAACCCGAGGGATCCGAAAACTGCCGGCCCTGGAGGTAGGCCCCAAGGGGTCTAATTGTTTCAGTCTGTCAAGATTGAAGATGTAAAACAATGTATCTGCTGAAGCTCACGCCGCTTCTGGTTCAAAATGGCTGCATGAACAAAAGCTCATGTCCTATAGCTTGCAGTCGCATACAGTCCCAGGCTCTGCCGATCTCCAGTAAGCTGGCTGCAACTTGCAAGGCCTCCCTCGATCGCCGGGCGTCATTTGCAACGCCGAGCCCAGCCTGTTCTCCGTGGTCTGGCCACGCCAGACTGTGTGCATTGTCGGATAAAACATCGCCGGAGCTGCGCAACAGTTGTTAAATGCATTTTCTGCTTCTCCCCCCCTGCACAGAAGTCCATGCTTCATTTGTGTCTTCCCAAAGAGGGGTGTGTGTGTGTGTGTGTGTTTAGGGGGGTGTGATCAACAGTTAACGCCTGCAAATGGTTGCTTTGGAATGCCAAAGAATAACAATCGCGCGGTCGATATCTGGACGGGATAACCCACTCAGATGCCATAACCATTTTGTAGCGCTCCAGTGGTCGGTGGGCCATCTGTCTCAGCCCGGGCAAAGTGCCCCTCGCAAAACCCATCGCCCCTTGGGCTGCAGGGACAGACTGGTCAGATCCGGCCGGAAGGATCCTCGAGTCAGGAGGGGTGAAATGTTGCCATGCGACTTTGGGAAGTGCCAACATGTGCATTTCGAATTGGAAAGGTTCTTTTGGGTTCATTGTTTCCAATTTTTGATGTGTTTTTTTGCAAACCCAAGTCCGTGCTAAATGCACTAGTTATCCAAAATAGAACCCATATAAGCCCCCAGAGAAGGCAGGAAATAAATGTATTCTTAAAAGGTACAAATCGTTTTTACACACAATGCACGACAAGCCGTTTTGGGGCGCGTGGGATTTCGAGCCATTTTGATGCTCAATTTTGGCTCTTGTTAACTCCATTACAATTCTCAAAAAGTTGTCTGTAGATCCGGCTCGATGTTGCTCCCCTGCAATTTTTGGAAAGGTTCTTTTGGGTTCAACTTGTTTTCCAATTTTTAATGTGTTTTGCAAACCCAAGTGCGTGCTAAATGCACTAGTTATCCAAAATAGAACCCATATACATTGCCATTCAGCCATGGACCAAGCTGCAAGATCGGCGTGGATTCCAACGAATTGTGGGAGGATAAAGTGGTCGTTCTATCAAATAGCCTTGGCCTTGTAGCATTGCAGGGCCCCCCGCTCAGCCGGTAGACCAATCACTTGGCGTTGCATCGCGCTTGCCAACCCCCTCACCCCCGGCTTCCAGAGCGCTCCCTAGTTTCAATCCATGGTCTCCCATCTCAAACTCCTAAGGAAGCTAGTTGCAACTGTGTGGTTTTAGCCCCCTGAACAAAGTTTGACAGTGTCTAAAAGATCAGCAGGTTGCAGGTGAAACCAAAAGACGAGGCAAAACCATTGCCATTAGCCAGCCTGAAGCATGCATGTGAAACCGGACGTTTGCAAAAATATGGAGGGATTTCCTTCTGGAGCCTGAAAGCACCTAGACGGGCGAGCCTAAAGCACCCGACTAGGCGTGAGACCAAGTGCTCGCCACGATCGCCACTGCTGTGAGCGGCTTCCCGCAAGGCTTAATCCACTTGCAGTGTCGCCAATCAAAACCTCTGACTGCGGAGTCCAATGACTATGCACTCTCACTCACTCGCTCCCTCTCTTTCTCTCTAGATCTTTATCTTCCTCTGTCTATCTCTCTCTCTCTCGCCTAGAGATGCTACATGTGCTACGATTGAAACGTGTAGTCCGAACCAATTCTGCTTTGCACCTGTTGCCAAGTCCACCTTCTTCATGAGTTGTAGGCGAAAAAAGGATCCGACTCACTGAATTGAGACAGTTCAGCAGCCTACCAATGCGCAACTCCCGGAGCTCGGCCCGAAGTGCTGATAGCTCTGCCGCACTGCTTCACCGCTTGTCTCATGCGCGGCGCGCGCGCTTCTTGGCACAAGACACTGGGCTGGCTTTCCGCTTCCTGGGCCAAGATGTAGTCAGGCGGCTGTGTTTTGTAGCAACACCCCAAGGGGGACCGAGGCCCAACACGCACGGTTGCGTCTTACAAATTCGGTGGACCTTGCTTCTCGACTGGCTTCAGTCAGCGGTGAGATGAACGAACGTATGCTTAGGCTCGAACACCCTCATCTACTGGAGGAAAACAATGGTATGCGCAGGCATATTGATTCCTCTCGAACAATGCCCTCTGAGCTCAACAAAAATCCTGCCTTAGCATCAGCATGTTGCGGTACGTCTTAACCTGCAGCTGGATGCAAAACTCTCCCCCGTTCTGATGATTTTCTGGGCATGTAGAACAAACACAGGACATGATCTGATTTGGGTGCGTCCTAAAACCTTGTGGTTTTCCTTTGAGAACCGCCATTCTTTGAGAATGCAACCGGCAAAAATGTTTTGACCGCACATTCACCCCTAATGCATACCTCCTCCCCATCTGTGGCCCGTACAGGGGACTACACCTGCTCAGAACAAATGCGGAAGTAGCTAGGGATGTCTTCTTCTCCTTCAAGGGTAAAATCCATGACCCAAACCAAGGACCATGGGAGAAAAGGGCACCCGAAACAAAGGAAACACGAGCACTGGAGGTCGGACAATTTCCCATTCCAAAACACCCCGCCCGGCCGGTCCTGGTCGCCAGCGCGGACCGCCTCAAATAGCCGGGACGCAGGGCCCGAAGTTGACACTGGCCATGAGGCTCGAGCTGGGAATGAAGCACCAGGCCCAGCATGAAAGTGTATCGTTTGACTTTTGGGTTAAGATGTTATTGTCTTTTGGGCAAAGAAGAACAAGCGGTTCGCCGCAAGGGGATCATCAGGACTTCGGAAGCTTCATACTGACAGACTGCCAACAATTACATCACTGCACGCCCATAGAACCCAAACTCGTGCAACCCCTGTACAGGAAATGCAAACGCAAAGATCCCAACTGGCCGAATTGCTGGAGTGCAAAATGATTCTCGAAGAGTTATCATGTTGATTCTGCGGAGCCGCTGTCTGAAACAAGCCGTTGTTCAAGTATCTCAATATATTTTTGGCCCATGCGTTCCCCTTCCCAGGTGGATAGCCTCATGAGCACAGGTCATCAAAACAAGGGGACTGCCCACAGGGCAGGAATTGCTTCATTTTGGCCCCGTTTTCGGGCAAGTACACAGGTCCATACACTCTGCAGCTCTAAGAGGTCCCCTTATTTTGGCAAAAAGGGGGACATGTGCCTGGAAACCCAAGCCCAATCTGATAGCCATTGCCCGTCGCTTGGCCCAGGCGCGTCACAGAACTTCTGCGGGCGAACTTGGGGAAGCGCTTGGGGCGACGATCCTGCCCCGTCCAACCCCGGCCCATCATTTTACCCCAAAACCACCAGAGCATGCCAGCAAAACTCCGAAGGGGGTCGGTGCTGACTTTTAGCCATAAGCGGTGACAGCCTGGATGCCTACACTTCCGGTTCCTTGCACACCCACTCCGTCCTCCTTCGCCAGGGCCTCCAGCTTTTGGCAGATCTCAGTGGGGTCCTCAGCGATCAAAAAACAAAACGGAAAAGCGCGCCGTGAATCTTCGTGACGGCGCCCTGGCCGAAGTTCTATGTCAATTGGGATGAGCTGGTGAAGAGCGCGCCTTACAAGGAACACAGAGAGAGAGAGAGGGGGGGCGGAGGCATGGCTTCACAAGAGAGGGCACCAAAAGCGCGGTTGTCTTT